CCTTAGCTGGTTGAGCTATAGGCGCCGAGCCCCTGAATGCAATATTAATCATAGTTTTTTTTGCTTATTTTCTCCCTGCATAATCTTGGTTGCCTTCATTTCTTATTTAGCTTTCTTTGTCTTTGTTTTGACCTTTATTTTTGTATTAAAGGCTTTCTTTAGCTGTTTGGTGACCCTTGACGATCTGCCTTTATTTCAAGAGTGGGTGGTAGAAAGCTAATTCGTAGCTCTGAGCCTTGGCGGGGGGCGGGGGGGGTTTCCATCAATAGTGGATTTCTGTCGCATGGTCTGGTGAGGCCATTTGGTGGGGGATCACCTCCACTGTCAGAATCTTTAGGTCTTTCCTCTTAGACTGGTCAGATTTTCCAGGGAAGTATCTTTCCTTTTATGCCTGACACTATAGACCTGGCATTCTGGGAGCTGAATAAGAAGGGAGTCAAGGTGGTAGTCTATAAACTCAGCCTCCTCTAATTCTAAGTCTGGGCACATAACCACTACCCCATACATCATGTTTTTTCCTCCTCATTCCAGTTTAGTTTAGTATGTGTTGACGATCTACCCTGAGTCTAAACACTTGGCCTAATTAGACCCATTGGTCTAAATGCTGGGGATAAAGAAATTATTAGAACACCCTACTTCTCCCATCCCAGGTTCAATTTAAGTCAATAAAAGGTGTAGAACTTGAGATCTTCAAAGTTCTATGCTAGCACGGTAAAGAGGAAAGACAGTAAGACATAGTTCTTGTCTTAAGAAGTTCAAAGCTATGTGTCAGATGTAGAAAACAAATTTTATGAAACCAAAATGCAAAGCAGAACATGAAATGAGTGCAGCAAAAGAGAAGAAGCACTGCGGTTGCTTACAAAGGAAGAAGAGATTCATTTTGATTGTGACGATATGAAGTAGAAATTAGACTTGGAGCTTTAAAACGGTACAGATTTCACAGGCAGAAATGGGGGTAGGTGGAATATAAACAAAGGCTCAAAGAGCAAAAGATCTGGAGTTTTATAACTCTGTTTATCTTTCTTGCAGGGTGATTCTGGAGGGCCCCTCCATTGTTTGGTGAATGGCCAGTATGTTGTCCATGGAGTGACCAGCTTTGTGTCCAGCCAGGGCTGTAATATCTCTAGGAAGCCCACCGTCTTCACCCGGGTCTCTGCATACATCTCTTGGATGAATAATGTGAGTCTTCTCCAGCTGTGGGTTGAAATAGGGTCTACTGGAAATCCAAGCACTGGCTGGGTTACAGAGCAAAAGCTGGGCTAGGGAAGCCATCCTTCCTTACCACGTCTGTGTGTTTATTCCTTTCCCTTCCCTCCATAATGTACTGTTCTCAATAATGCCATCTTGAATTCCCTCCCCTTCACATACCCATTGGACAAACTTTACCGTATTGTTTACTGCATGGGATAAGATGGTGGCAAAATCAGATCTGTACCAGGCACATTATCTGTGCCATCCTAAGCCAAAGCCAAGAGAAAAATCAGTTCAGAAAGGCTTGCATGCTCCTGGGCAAGGGAAGAGGACACCAAAGAGCTCTCCCACAAGCTCCTTCCTAAGAGCATTATAAGAATCTGCCTCTAACTTTTGAAAGAGGTTTTACCAGCTTGAACAATGCTTGAGAGTTAAGTAAGACCTCCTACACTGTCCTAGAAGAGCCAGGTAACACACTTCACTGTGTCCTCCAGCCTTCAACATTCTGGAGACTTGTGCCATGAATCTTGGCTTATAGTCATTTAAAGGTGTGTCATTGACACTATGTCCTCAATATTGAGGTGTCCTATCACAGCTGAGACTTCTTGTCTCCTCCCCCCCATATCTTCTCAACTCCCCATAAATCTGGTACAGAGCCATACTTAACATGGAGCCCTGAGAAAATAAGGAAGAAGGTGGGCAGAAGTTACTGACTGTGGATATAACTAACTCTTTTTTTCCTTCAGGTCATTGCCTCCAACTGAACATTTTCCTGAGTCGAATGGCCTTCCCAAGATGGTTCTTAGGTCTGCAACTGAACTTGACACCAACAAGGAAATATTCTAAGAGACTGATGAGTCAGATATAGAAAAACAAATAAAACTGAATATACATTACCATGCTGTCTTTCTATTTGTAATTAAGGCCTCTAGAGGAAATGCAGTTACAGGACTTCCCTACTTCTGTGGGCTGGTTCTTCCCTTGCTATCTTTTTTTTTTTTTTTTTTTTTGGCCAGGGCCAGCTTGAACCCACCATCCCCGGGATATGGGGCTGGCGCCCTATTCCTTGAGCAACAGGTACCACCCTTCCTTTGCTATCTTTACCAGTCCACAAACTAAGCCCAGTAGGAGTGGCTTTATATTTTAGATCAGGCATCCTCAAACTATAGCCCACGGGCCACACGCAGCCCACCTAGGACATTTATCCAGCCCACCGGGTGTTTTTGCCGCCGCTGCCTGTCCTGCTTAGCAGCCGACTCGTCCCATGGCCTGCAGTCCGGCCCTCCAACAGTCTGAGGGACAGTGAACTGGCCCCCTGTTTAAAAAGTTTGAGGACCCCTGTTAGATTATTTTAGGATCCACCTATCCCTGAATCTGTCCTTTTCCCCTCAATCCTGTGCATATTTGCTATATTCAAAGGCACAGAGTGCTTTAAAAAGCTTCCTGAGTGACTGAATGTGCCCTAAACTTTCCTGCATAGATTATAGGTTTCTCCTTCTTTTGTTTCCCACTTTACTGCCTAGAACAAGTGCTCACCCCAACTTCTCAGTGATGGCAACTACTAGGATACACTAGAGGTAGGAGTGCAGGGTTAGGAGGTAGGTCAAATGCTGGTAGACTAAGAAAGTAACAAATCATACAGGAGCCTGGGGAACAAAAAGAAAAAAGGAGAAAAGATACTAAACCAAAAAAGGAAAGGGTTGAGGGGAAGAGGCCGAACAGAAAGGAAGAGGTGATAACAATATGGGGCCTAATGCTAAGTGTGAATCAGCATTTCAAGGCTGGGATTAAAATAGGCAACAAGATTCAGAGTTCTGTAAACCACAGAGAACTGGGAAGCTGATAATTCTGCTCTGTCCTGGCCATGGCTCAGTATGTGAGACTGGAGCGGGAGAAAGCAAAGGGGGAACTGAAAGGAGAAGGTTAAAAAGGATGGAAAACAGCTTCTCATGCCAGTCAGTAAGACCAGATAAGAAGGACTAGGACATTTTCGACAGGAGAAACTGGCTGAGTCAGATCCTGGAATTGGTAGGCTGCTATATCAAGAGGCCTCTAGAACACTGCATGTACTATAAGAGGCTGGGCTGGAGTCAAGACATCTGTGTTCCCATCTCAGTTTCACCACTGAGGAGGTGGGTAACCTTGGGCAAGTCACCAGCCCTTTCTGTGATGCAATTTCCTCATCTAGTTAACTTGTAAAGGTTATTTTTTTTCTTTAATACTACATGATTTGGTCTGTCAATTTCAGTTCCCAAGATATTGGCACTAGACAGAGCTTCTTAGGAGCAGTGGCTGGGCTGCACTGCTAAGGGTACTGTGTAGTCCCATGAGTGACACAGCATTGGCCTCCTTCTGCTAATGACATACCTGTTATCATGGCTATCTTGTCTTAGTGTTCCTGCAGTATCGCCATCCTCTGCGCTTCTCCTCACTTCTCCCCATCCAACGTTAGGTCCTTCCATTTTCTTCCCTCTGTTACTTTCAGGCCATCACCAAAGCTAACATCCGGAATAAACCCTCATCACCTATTGCCTAAAAATGTTGTACTCATCTCTACAAATGAATTGAGCCCATTACTTTATAATTACCTAATTACCAACCTACCTCCAACTCCAGACTTTAAGCATCTTTCCTTTTTTTTTTTTGAGACAGAGTCTCACTCTGTTGCCCAGGCTAGAGTGCCACGGCATCATCCTAACTCACAGCAACCTCAAACTCCTAAGTTCATGTGATCCTCCTGCCAAGTAGCTGGGACTACAGGCGCCTACCACAACACCTAGTTAATTTTTCAACTTTTAGTAGAGGCAGGGGTCTCACTCTTGCTCAGGCTGGTCTTCAACTCCTGGTTCAAGTGATCCTCCCTCCTCAGCCTCCCTGAATGCTAGGATTACAGATGTGAGCCACTGTGCCTGGTGGACTTTAAGCATTGTATTTTATTCATCTTTGGCTTCCCAACATTCAGCAATGCCTGGCACACGGTTGACCTTGAGGACACTAATGTCTATTTAAGGGAAAGAACTGAAACGAAAAAAAGAGCAAAGACCTCTATAATTTCACATCAGGCCTCCAGCTTGCATCTCCACTCTTTAGCAAGCGTATTTTGAACCTTCTTTCTTCCTTAAGGGAATTTCACCTCCACTGTAAAATGCTTGAGCAAATGTTTCTTCCAAACCTACTGTCCTAATTTCCAGCTATCCACTCCGACGCTTCAGGGAATAATTTCTATTGGGAGACCTTCTCCCTAGAGAAACAATGGTTGTAATCTCAGCAGCCCCACCCCAATTTGCACAATCTTTGTCTGCGTTCACATCTGCCTCCATCTAGTAGGCGGTACACCAAGTAGAAAAACTTGCTCCCTATCTCCAGCACAAGCGTCCATACTCTCCCCTTCAGTCTTTTTTCAACCATCATCTCCTTTCCTAAGAACCCCCCAGCCCCACCTCCTTTCAAATCCAGATCTAGAAGAGTCCTGTCCCCATTCTGCACTCTGTCCTTACTAGTTCCAGGGTTAGAGTCATCAACCTCTCTTTGGCAGTGGCTAAACTGCAACCGGGACCAAGAAATACAATTTTACTTGACATCCTAGCAATGAAACCCATAGGGCTGAAACCCATTTTCTCATACAATGAACAACACCCTTGCCGAGGAGAACACACTTTATTTTCTACCCGGCTGTGGCAGTTATTTTCTGCTGCTGAGAGCTAATTCACTTTCCGAAACCAATGAGACTTGGCCCACGTTTCAAGACCCTGTTCGGTGGGGCTGACGTTGTGGACGGTGGGGCTGGAGTGAGCGCCACCTGAGGGCAGGGCAGGCCGGGCTCCTGGTCCCGCTCTCAACGGCCCGGCCGGCCGGGGCTTCAGGCGTCGCCGCCCGGCCCCCGCCCGCCGCTCTGGGCCGTGCCCCCGAGCTGGCCCTGCCGGGTGACGCCTCGAGGTGGCCGTCGTGCGGCCGGCCGGGGCGGAGGGGCGCGGGGTGGAGGGGCGCCCGGGGCGGGGGCCGGCCCGCCCGCCACCACGGCTGCGAGGCATGCTGGGAGCCCGCACTTCCTCCTCAGGGGCCCCTAGGAAACCACAGGGCTCCGGGCCAGGGCGGCTGCCCCCGGGGAGCTGGCAGGATGGCCGAGGGCAAGGCGGGCGGCGCTGCCGGCCTCTTCGCCAAGCAGGTGCAGAAGAAGTTCAGCAGGGCTCAGGAGAAGGTAGGCGGCCGGGCCTCGACGACGCCCGCCAGGCCCAGCTGGCGAGGAGCGGAGGCCGAGGGAGGCCGAGGCCCGGCGGGCAGCAGGGGCGTGCAGGGCGCCTGGGGGCCCGGAGGCCGGGGCTGAGGAGATGGGGCTCCCCGAGAAACGGGGGGCGGGCGTGGGTTCCCCCAAAACTGGCAAATTTGAGAGAGAACGGACACCACCACCCGCTCTTGGGCAAGGGTGGGGGAAGCTGAGGAGACAACAGTCTCTCCCAGGAACCTTAAACAACCTTCAGGCCCACCCAGGAAAGGAGAAGGAAAGGAACTAACATGGGCCAACTGCATATCAGGTTTTGTCCTAGCGATCCAGGAGGATGGTAGTTTACAGATGATGAAATTGGAGGGTTATTTCCCCAAAGTCAAAGACAGTGGTGACCAGCCGTGATGCAGTGTGTACGGCCAGTTTGCTTGAATTGGGAGTTCCCTGGAGGCTAGAATAATTCTACATAATGGTCTCAGTACCTAACCCTGACTGGTCTCTGGATGTTAAACTGACATAAGCAGTGGCTGGTATTTGCTTCCTGTAGCCCAGCCCTTTGGGTTGAAGAGCGCAACCCCAGGATGATGGACGCCTGTGTTTAGATCCTGTCCTTGGTTAATGCTGAGTAGCCCTACCCCAGGGCTAGCCTTTAGGCCGGCTGCTGGTCTATAACTTGCCTGCCTGCAGAGATGGTGGGAACAATGTTCGCATTTTAATGACATTTCTGTTTCTTTGCTTTTCACTTGAACCTATGCTCTCCACCTACCAACATTCTAATAGGATACAAGGGAAGGGGGAAGGGATAAGAAGGACCTAAGATAAAGTTTTTATTTTCTAAAGCTTAATAGACTTAGAAGCATTTGGGGCTTGGAGCCCATGCTTAGTGGTTAGGGCACCGGCCACAGGCCCCAGCGCTGTTGGGTTCCAACCCAGCCCAGGCCTGTAAACAACAATGACAGCAACAAAAATAGCGGGGTGTTGTGGCAGGCACCTGTAGTCCCAGCTACTTGGGAGGCTGAGGCAAGAGAATCACTTAAGCCCAAGAGTTTGAGGTTGCAAAAAAAAAAAAAAAAAAAAGAGAGAGAGAGAGAGATACATACTTAACAATTGAAATAATTATATTATCTTCTAAAAGTGCAGCACTGATTTGGGCCCTGGGAAGGATTAAGGATAACCGGCTGGCCCAAGTAGGATTATCAACAGAGAATTGATAGAATGTAGATGTAGTTCCTGACTTTAAGAGGCAACAATGAAAGGGAGGGGCTGTGTATACTTTTTCTTTCCTTTCCTTTTTTTTCTTTTTGGAGACTGGGTCTTGCTCTGTCGCTTGGAACCTCAGAATCAAATGCTTCCCATGGGGAGAACTAGCCACCCAAGGTAGCATTCTTCCTGGCCTGAACCCTGAGGAGACAGAGAGGGGAGCAAACGCAAATCTGGCCTAGAAAACTTCAGGTCAATGCAGAAAACAAGATACTCTGAACCCAGTCTTAGGCACAGGCAGGTAGACATTAAACTTGGATGAGATAGGAATGGTCTGAGATGGAGGTGGGAACTCAGCTCAGTCAGCCTACAGCTACAGCTCTGGAGTCTTGGGAAGTTATTGAGGGCAAGATAAAGAGGAGAAAATTGCATTAAAAAGAAAGGATTCTGGCTCG